ACATTTTAGAAAACAATGTAAGGATGCAATTGCTTATTATGAAATAATAGGCCATTAAGGAAACTTCTAACTTGAGCTGAAGATAACAGTAGAAATTCATTTTGCAAAGACTGTGAGAACTGTTTCATCGAAACATATTTCACATATTCTTGGCTATTGTAAATGGATGTTGTTTTCTAATTTATTTTTGAGCCATTATCTTTTGTATAAAGAAGGGCTACTGTTTTACACTTTTTTGTTGTTGTTGGTTTGTTTGTTGTTTTAAATTTTACATCCAGCCACTTTGCAAAAGGTGTTTATTACCTGTAGAAGTTCCCTGGTAGATACTTTGGGGTCACTTATGTATACTATCACATCTCCCATAAATAGCAATATTTTGACTTGTTCCCTTCCAATTTGTATCTTAATATCCTTTACTTGTCTTACTTCACTAGCTCTGACTTTAAGTACTATATTGAAGGAATATTGGGAGAGTAGGTAGCCTTGTCTTTTCCCTGATTTTAATGGAATTGCTATAAGTTTCTCTCCATTTAGCTTTATATTGGCTATTGGCTTGTTGTGTTTATTATGTTTATTATGTTTATGTATGTGCCTTGTATCCTTGATCTTTTTAATGCTTTTAACATGAAGTTGTTTGAGATTTTGTAAATGTTTTTCAGAATCTAATGAGATGATCCTGTGATTTTTTTTCTTTCAGTTTGTTTATACAGTAGATTACACTGATGGATTTTTGAATATTGAACCATCCTTACATATTTGGGATGAAGCCTACTTTGATCACAGTGAATGATTATTTTGATGTGTTCCAGGATTCAGTTTGTGAGTATTGTATTGAGTCTTTTTGCATCAAAGTTTAAAAGAGTAACTTGTCTAAAATTTTCTTTCTTTGTTGAATCTTTGTGTGGTTTAGGCATCAGGGTGACTGTAGCTTCACAGAATGAGTTTGGCAGTCTTCCTTCTGTTTTCATTTTGTGGAATAGTTTGAGGAGTATTGGTACTAGCTTTTCTTTGAAGATCTGGTAGATAATTCTGAGTTAAAACAATCTGGCTTGCCTTGGACTTTTGTTGTTTTTTGATGTTTTCATTGTTGTTGTTGTGATGGTGGTGGTGATGATGAAACTTTTAATGACTGCTTATATTTCCTTAGACATTATAGGGCTGTTTACATAGTTTACCTGTTCTTGATTTAATTTTAGAAGGGGATATCTTTCTGGAAATCATCCATTTCACTAAGAGTTTCCAATTTTGTAGAATACAGCATTTTGCAGTAAGACCTAATGATTCTTTGAATTTCCTGAGTGTCAGTTGTTATGTCTCCCTTTTCCTTCCTTATTTTATTTTGATTCTGTCTCTCTGTCTTTTCATTATTTTAGCTAAGGATTTGTCTATGTTGTTGATTTTCTCAAAGAACCAGTCTTTATTTTCCTTTATTTTTTGAATTGTTTTCTTTGTTACTAGTTAAATGATTTCTGCCCTGATTTTGATCATTTCTTTCCTTCTACTCCTTTTTGGTGTATTTGTTCTTTTTTCTCTTTTACTAAAGTTTTCAGGTGTACTTTTAAATTGCTGGTAAGAGAACTTTCTAATTTCTTTATAGAGACACTTAGGGCTATGGAATTTTCTTTTAGCACTGCTTTCATTGTGTCCTATAAGTTTGGGTATGTTGTACCTTCATTTTAATTGAATTCTAGAAAGTCTTAAATTTGTTTATTTCTTCCCAGATTCAGACACCATTGAGTAGAGAGTTGTTCAGCTTTCATGAGTGTATAGGCTTTCTAGTATTCCTGATGTTGTTGAAGTCCAGCTTTAATCTATGATGTTCTGATAAGGTATGAGACGGTATTTCGTGTTTTTGTTTGTTTGTTTTTTGTATCTGTTGAGGCTTGCTTTGTGACTGATTATATGGTCAATTTTGGAGAAGGATTCATGAGGTGCTGAAAAGAAGGCATATTCTTTTCTGTTTGGATAAAGTACTCTGTAATTGTCTGCTAGGTCCATTAGCTTCGTAATGTCTTTTATTTTAATTATGTTAGTTTAGTTTTTGTCTGGATGACCTGTCAGTTGGTAAGAGTATGGTGTTGAAGGCTCCCACTATTATTGTGTTGGGTTTGATAGTCAACTTAAGCTTTACCAATGTTATTTTTACAAATATGGGCACCCTTGTATTTGATGCATAAATGTTCAGAATTGAGATATCATCTTAGTACACTTTTTTCCTTTGATGAGTATGAAGTGTACTATTTGAAGGTAGAGACTGAGGATGGTTCCAGAAGACTGAAAAACATTCCTTTTTTTTTTGTACGTTGGTAGCATTAATATTGTAAAAACACCACCTTACCAAAATCACTAACAGATTTATTGCAATCATTAACAAAATTCATACAACATTTTTCTTAGAAATAAAAAGTAAATTCTAAAACTTATATGGTACCACAAAAAAACAAAAACAAAAACAAAACCAATCCTGAGCAATAACTATTGTTAAAGCCATAGAAAATTCAACAAATCCCCATTACCAGGCTTGGGATGGCCCCCTTGGAATTGGTCAGGACAGTCTAAAAGACTCCAAAAATAGCATGGACTACTACCATTGTCCTTGGTTGTCTCCCAGAACTTGAAAGTCAGACCTTATTGCTGAAGACACCACATATTTTGGACACAGAACGTAGAGGAATCCTGCTAAAGCTAACATGGATGGTCTTTGACAAAGCCTGTACCTCCTGTAGTATTTGAAAATGCTCTTCAAGAATCCAAGAGTGTAAATCCTAAGAGCTGCAGTAGTCACTAGCATAGCAAAAGATCTCCAGGTGTGCAATAATGGCACTTTTCTCAGGTGCAATCAACAACTTTATACTTGCATTTAAAACCCTCTCAGTGAAAGAAAATTCGTGTGTGGTGTTGTGGCTAGTGAGATCAGAGACTCAAAGGGAAAACTTTCTATTAGAACTTTTCTAAACCAGTATAATCACTAACTGCATTTTAAATACTTACCTCATATTTTCAGGTAAGTCTAGCTCTCACCCACCATCAAGGAGGTTTCTTTATGTGATAGATGGAGACCACTATAGAAATCTAAATATAGAAGAAAAATGCTGAGAACATCTGACTGTGGAGTGACTAACCCAAGCTGATATACATACATACATACATACATACATACATACATACATACATACATACGTATACACACACACACACACACGCACACACACACTGAACCTAAAATAGACTCTGAACTTAAGGTACAGAAAACACCTCTTCAGAGGGAGCAGGTGTATAAGAAATGGAGGACCAGCATTGTCTCCTATGATACACTGTCTTCTTCATGTAACAGAGATGATAAACCCAAGGAATATTAAAATATTACATCTAACTACACAGGACCTGCACAGGAATGTCCATGGAAATGCTAACAATGACAGAGGGAATCTCACAAAGCCCCACCCATAGATGAAGAGCTATAGGCAATTAATGAATACAGAGAAAGCAACACATCAATTCCCTCCAAGGTAAGGAGTCTCTGGGTAGGTTATCCAGACCCAAGCCATCAGAACTAAGCAAATGCAGATATGTGCAACATTTAATGGACTCGGCAGGTGTAATCTTTCCCTGCACTCATATATAGGAAGAGTTTATGAATTTGAGAGGGATGTTGGTGAACAGAGAATTTTAGGGATTAGAGTGGATTGAAAATAATGTAAACAAAACACTACTTATGTAAAAAAATCTCAAGAAATATTATAAAACTAATAAATTTCTATTCAGCTTATAAAGTTATATAAATCCACAGTTATTACATTTTTCAAAATTGTTAGAGCATTTCTAAGCTCCTATTGTCTCCTAATTAAGCACGAAGAGAAAAGTCAAAGTCAATAAACTCATTTTTATTATTGGAAAACATCTAAACACACAGTCAGAGTTTCAGTACATTTATTTCAAGTCAAGGTCTAGAATTCTTTAATGCAGATGAAGTTCCAGAGGGGAGTATTTTTTTTCTTATCTCCTATGGGCTGATATCTCAGATTCTTTTAGATAAAGTTAGGTTGATAAATGATCAAAGCTGTGAAACCAAATCACAAAAAAGCTATTCTTACACTTTCACATTGAAGAAGGAGGCATTTAATAGAACAACCACTGAGGAAGGCATGTAAGGGTTTTTCCATTATCAAAGAAAGCTTCCACACTTACTTGTTTATCTGAAAACCATGATATATATAATTTATGAATGTTTAATATCTTTGTAGGCACAATGTTTCGAGGTCAAAAAACAGGCTGTAAATTCAGATATCAGAGTTTAAAATCTCTTCAAATTTGATCAAAGTTAAATCAAAAGTATCACAAGACTTTGTATGATCAATGTTTCCTAGCAACTTAGGGCCCAGGATTTTATCTGAATTCATGTTCAGTTATCACAGGCTTCTTTATGATTCCTGTTTCTCTTTACATTGTTGACTAACTCTTTTATATTTTATCTTTACTTTCTTCTTAAGAAACAATAGCTGAAGGTTTTTTAAGCTGCTTAAATCCCTCCATAGAAATTCATGACCTAGTCTGAGTGTAGCTGCCAGCTTTGGTGAGAAACTATTCAGTTTGATTCAAATAAAATTGTTAAGTTGGCAGGGAATGCTTCTAAACATTTTTATGAAGCTAAAAATGTTTTATTTTCATTTCATTTTCTAAAAATAAAATAGTCAAAAATTATTTGTCTAAATATAGACATATATAGCTGCTAAAATATCACTCAGCTCTGTTCTTGATCATGACAATTAAATTTTAAATTTCAATTTAATCATCACCCCTCCAACCATACCTAACACTTTATTTGGTTTGTTAACTGAAAATAGAAGGAAATGTTCATGTATGTACGTATGTATGTATGTATGTACATATGCTTTAATTCTATGTCCTAAATATTATCAAGATATAACTTGTCCTTGGTATTATTTAATTCTTCCTGTCTTTACAAGATTAGTGACCTGAGTCATAAACAATCAAATTTTGTTGCATCTAGAGGCATAGTAGATGCAGCTACTGCATCATGTGTGTGTCAGTAGGTGGCTGAGAGGAGAGAGGCTTCACCTGTATGCTCAGTGTTCTGACCTATGAACATCTGAGTAATTAGTAGACTAACATTTCCTGAAAAAAAGCAAGCCTGGGAAAACCACCAATCTGGGACCAGGCAGGCACAAATAGGTTTTCTTGACAGGAAGCAAGCTGGAGACTAGAAGAATCGTGCCTGGGATAATGGGCTCCAGGAAGACAAAAGAAAGCTAAAGATAGATGGCCATTAGGACAGCCTAAGAGAGGAGCGAGCACTGTATGACCACCAGATTGGTGCCCTGGGGCCCAAAGAGAGAAGTACCCTGAGATGACCACCAATCTAGTATTATGCAGACCTGGGGTGTCTGACCATGCCAGAAAGTACAAGTGAGGCATAGCACTCCTGAGACCACTCCTGAGATGGCCCCAGGCACCAATAAGAGGAACAAGTAAGTGGTGGAGAGATGAAAGAGAGAGAAAAAAAGAAGGATGTGTGTACAAACAAGGGAGGCAGAACTGGAGACTGGAGGATAAGAAGAGGCAGCCTGATGAAAGTAGTCAATTATGCCACTGGGATCATGCTGGAGTCTTGGCCTGTGGTATCCCCAGAGGCCACCTCTGGGTTCTTGACACTGCAGCAACAGGGGTTTGTTACCATCATAAGCCAGATATCTCTGGTCTGAGCTGCTGACTATGGACATGTTGATGTCTGAGGACTATGAAAAACTGATCTCATCCCTCACCTGGGCACAATGGGACAGCTGGTCCTGCCCCTAACCAGAAGCAGTACTCAGGAAAGTGGCCCCACACATTTCAGGAGTTTCGAGTATGCTGCTTGAGAAAGCAAATGTGAGAGAGTTGGCCCTACCATCTGTCTCCCAGTGTGATGTGGATGAGGGAGAGATACCCTTTTCCCCCTTCACTTAACACCACCTGCTGCAAACAGGAGACCTGGCCCTGTGTTCATAAAAGCAGGAGAGGTAGCCCTGCCTTTCACTCCCTGCAACACTTGAGAGACCAGGCCCTCCACTGTTGTGGATTGTTGTTTGTACTTTCTGCTCCCCCTAGAGGGGTTCCCCTATGAAGAGTAGATCATGTACTCAAGTGAGGTTAGGTGAAATCTTAATTGGTAAGATAAGGCTAGAGCCTGTGATTGGGCCGGGGAAAGAAAGGGTGGGACTAAAAGTTTTAGAGAAGATGTACGAAGAAGTTGAAGATGGAGCAAACCCTCGTGGCCAGGAAGAGCTGCAAGTAGCTAGGGATGTCATACATGGGCAATAGAGTAGTGTAGGGTATGTTTGCCCAATATAAGCCTGCAGCTTGTAATTATATTATTGAGTTGTGTGTTCTTTGCATGGGCATTTTGGGGTTGGAGATTTACTGTTATAAATCTGGCTGATATAATATAAATCTCTAGTGTTTACATTTCTCAGGGCTAAGAGGAGCTGAGTGAGTGGTAGCTGGTATTCGGCAGGCCAGCCACAGGGGGTGGACTGGCTGAGAACTGGAGCTATAGCTCCAGGCATTACAGGAAAAACTGGTTTGGTTAGTTTAACAAACTAGCCACAGGAACCAGGGCAAGACAGTCCCATAAGGCTCCAGGCATGGGGGTTGGGCAAAACAGCCATGCTGGGCCATAGCTAGATTTAGCATGAGTTCATTTTAAAACTACACACAACTCTACCTCATCTGAGTGGCACACTAGAGTAGACCCTGGATGTGGGGATTGTGGTTAAGCCATTCCTGAGGGTCTGAGTGTGGGAAGTGAGGCGCTGCCTCTTTTCTACTATGCCATAGCATTCACAGGAGAGAAATTCTTCCAAATTCTTTATGCCCTCACCAATGGGAGAACTGGCTAAAACAGGGTCAGTAGAACAGAAGAGCTGTCCCTGACCTTTACCTAGTGCAGCACTTGGGAGAGCAGCACTGCACTTCCTGGGAAGCAGGATAGAGATAGCCCTGTTGGCAGGGGTTGTAAGTGAGCAGGTTCCAAGGACATGAAAGCATGAGAACAGAAGGACTTACCGTCTATATGATACCCCTCAGGCCCAGGTCCAGAGTTTTGAATTGGCCTACCCCAACATGTACTGCACGGATGAACAGTTGGCATGCATGAAGGGGCCAGTTGTACAGATCCAAAACTACAGGATCTCCATGAAACAGGCCAACAACAGGATATTCAAGAGGAGTCCCAGTAAGGTTTGAATATTAATAAAGAAACCAGAGGTATTATACCAAACCAATGACTCATTGAAATAAATATTTGCAATCAAAGAAATGTGTGGACAAAAGGGAATACTGTGGAACATACTATGACACACTACAGCTTCCAAAAATCTAAATGAGATTTTTTTTTTTCCCTCTGTTGTCCAGAGAAGGCTACAAGGGTGGAGGGAAGGTACAAGGGTAGGAGGAGATGAACAGGATTGGGGTGCATGATGTAAAATTCACAAAGAACCAACATTTTTAAAATTTTTAAAATTAAATTGCCGGGCGGTGGTGGCGCACGCCTTTAATCCCAGCACTTGAGAGGCAGAGGCAGGCTGATTTCTGAGTTCGAGGCCAGCCTGGTCTACAGAGTGAGTTCCAGGACAGCCAGAACTACACAGATAAACCCTGTCTCGAAAAAAAAAAAAAACAATCAAATTTTTACCTCTGGCATTTAAATTGTTTCAGAGCTAGAATGAGAATTCAGTTTTGATAACATTCAATCAAGATATATTTTTATTGCTAACTATAGCAGTAAAATTATGTGGATATTTTGTTTATAATATGAAGCAAAAATGTGATAGTTTCAAAGAAGACATTTTAAGGACGTGTTCTTGTTTGTGTCAATACATAATCGCCATAAAAAATATCCCAAACCAACTTCTTTAGCAAATTTTAAATTTCTACTTACCTTTAAACTATGATTGAAAGCCACTGCATTGTAGCTGTTATCACTGCTGTTAGGAAAACTATATTTGGTAATCAGATAGGTGAGACCTGGTTTATATGAGAATCTATTCCATTTAAATTAAATTAAATTCCAATTAAAATGCTGTGTTAATGCAGAATTATAGAATGTGTAAAAAAAATCATTAATTTGTTGCTGTTTTAGATGTCCGTACACGTTAATTACTTTCAATAATGCCATGTATGGGCTGGCTCTGAATTTTCTTTGTAAGGATCCTTTTGTTATATGTTTAGAATATATAATCTTTAAATGCTTTCAAAAACCACTTGCACATGTAAACATAAAAATGAATTTGGATAATAATTATTTTCTCTAATTATTTTTAAATTCAGATGGCAAAAATATTTGCATACAAAATTTCAAAATGACATTAAATTACATAAATTAATATACTACTAAATTTTATCTACTAAGAGACTAAAATAATCAATTACAATTTTGTGGTAGTCACTCAAACTACTTACTCGTATTACATTTCATTTTATACCAATCAAGTGTGTATATTTTTGTAACTTTTTCATGTTTTAATTAAAGTATATTTACTTTAAAAAAAAGAAAAACATGTTTGAAGTTCTTTTTAAAGTATATTGAATGTTATTTAAAATATAATACTAAATTACTGAAATAAAACTTATGAAAAATATTTACACATTTCATTTTCAATCTTAACAAAAACTAAAGATATACCTCTAGTATTTACATTTTTGTTCTTAAAAGGTATTGCAAACAAAAATGAGATAACCACCAAGGTATCAAATAAATTACACCACGTTCTTTTAATATCATGTTGTTCTCAAGCAGAGATTTGTTTAAAAATTATATGTATATGTATTACATGAACTTCAGTGCAATATTCAAAGATAAACTGTTACAGAGCATTCAATTTACAGGAAATGTTCAATGTCAATTTGAATTAACAAGTTGAGCAGGGTGTCTTTTCCAAATGTCCATTAATGCTAATAAGCAAAGAAAACCAGAATACCAGAATTCCACTAATCAGGAGTTGTCAACGGTGGGTCAAAAGGACTAAATGATGAAGGCAAATTTTATACACTTAGTAATAAGTAGGAGATTATTATGTATGATTTTATCTTAATTGGTTTGAGAATTAATTGAGTGGTAACAAAAGCATCCATAATGTTCTTCATTTGAACAGAACAATTAAAAAGTCCCAAAGGTTTGGACTTGATGATAACCACTCTACTGGATTAACTCCTAGCAATAAAATCAAATGAGATTTATTATTTATCTGAAAATTGAGTTAATGTTAATGAGTACTGTATGCTTTTAGCTCAGCATATTTAAACTTTCAAAACAGTTCTTTGGACAAGGTCAAGTCTGTATAATAGTGATATAAAAGTAACCGATTTTCCTGACTATGTTTTTGTCTCATTTAAATCAATATTAGACAAGATTCAATGACATTGTATATATCACCATCTATACCAAAAGCTGAACCACCTCCTCTGTGTGTGTGTGTGTGTGTGTGTGTATGTGTGTTTTGTCATATGAACACTTTGCAATACTGAAATAAAATGAGTTCAAATTAAAAATAAAAGCAATAATATGAAAATTTTTGTCATCTGTAACATGGATAAATCTGGTGAGCATTAAATGAAATATGCTTGATCTAGAAAGACAAATACCAGATCATCTCATTTTATAAAAAGTAGATCTCACAGAAGCAGAGATTGATGTGATTATTATTAAAGAGTTAAGGAGTGGAGCTTGAGGTTATTGTTGGCCAAAAACCAGACATTGAAACACCAAGAGTAAGTTCAAAGACATTGTAAACACAGTGACTATAATTAATAATTATATTGTATAAATAAAATTTGCTAATGCTATACTTTGAAGATTATCACAAAACTATATAAATAGTGAGCTGGCACAAATATTGACAAGCTTTATCAATGTTGTATGTCATAAATATATACACTTTTAATTATAAATTAAAAGGAAAAGAAATGATAATTATTCTGGATTTGGCTGTGTAATTAAAGATATTTATTTTAGCCTTAGGATTAATTTCTTGGTGTTCAGATCAGGCAATGCCCTACTCTAAGTTAGTTCATAGAGTGAGCTTTAAGGCTGTGGATTGACCTGAAAGACTCTTCACAAATAGCATTTTACTTCAT